TAGAGATGTAACACAGTTTGTGTACTCTTACAGTTTTCTGTCTATTGTCCATTTATTTCATAGATGAAAACTACAGCAACATCAGAAGGATATGAGTAAACCTAAAATTTCCTTTGCCAGAAACTAATTGGCAGTCACTCCATGATTTTGAATAAAATTATTCATACACACTTATGAGAAAAAGGGAGTGAAATGTTTCGATAATGTCAAATTATTAATTATTATTTGGAATGGTAGAATAATGCTTTAAATTATATATAATAATGTATTGAAATTCCATGATTATTTGTTATTTCGGTATTTAGTTTTATAAGATGTAGTGAAATTAATTTTGGTTTAATGTTATGGGAGCTTATTTGATTTATTTGACTCTTCTCCGATAATTTTTATATTTGGCCAATATGGTTAATAAATAAAATGACCCATTCTGGGCAGTGGTGGTATGCACCTTTGATCCTAGCACTTGAGAGACAGAGGCAGGCGGATCTCTGTTTGAGACCAGTCTGCTCTACAAAGGAAGTTTGGAGACAACCAAGGCTGTTACACAGAGAAACCCTGTTTTGAAAAAATAAAATAAAAATGAAAACAACTCTATCGCAGCAATAGAAAAGGAATTGACACAGCTGTGTACAGTGAGCGATTCAAAACGGATTCTGAAGAACTCAACAATCTTCCTGACAAGTGATCACTTAAATTGTAACTGAAAATCAAGATGTATTGACCCCAAAAATCAATTGTTATGATAGTCTTAACTTGTAATGATTTGTGTGTTGCTGTAGCAGGATGTAAATACAGGAAAAGATTTAACCCTTCTCAGACCTAACTTAATTTTTATGTCTTCAGTATTTTTTCTTACTGTGTCAGTTCTCAGCATAGTTGACAGGAAACTGACCTGCATGGAAACTGTACAGAGAAACATACTTTCTCCCTGAAATAACATAAAAACACTATTAAGATGACCAGTGGACCATACTTATTATTAAAACATCTGTCTTAACTGCTCTGTGTGACTTCTGATAGAAAAATTACATGGATATTTTTATTAGCATTTGTGTTTCTATCTTAACCATGCTTCTTCCTTATATTTAGGGTTGCCAAGTGCTTTCAGAAATAATCTTATAATTTCATTTATATAAATTTGCTGTGGTAAGGAAGTGAATACACCAAGATACTTTCGCTCTTCAGTTATAGACTACTTCAGTGAACCTCAAAGCCTCCACAACACTTCTCTAAGTTCTACTTAAGAACTTAGCTATCTATTTCTCTCCAGAAGTCTGCCCTTGACTCTTCTCAATAAAGGAAATTCCCAAGGCATCATCATCCCTGACTTAAAACTCTACTCTAGAGCTATAGTAATAAAAACAGCTTGATATTAGCATAAAAATAGACATATGGACCAATGGAATTGAATCAAAGACCTTGACATTAATCCACATACCTATGACCACTTGATTTTTGATGAAGAGGCCAAAATGGAACAACGGAAAAAGGAAAGAATTGTAAAAGGAGCAGCGGGCCGCTTCCCGCCGCCTACCCGGCTAGCTTTACCCCCGAAATAACAACACACAAATTGTATTTTTTTAAACACTGCTTGGCCCATTATCTGTAGCCTCTTATTAGCTAACTCTTACATATTGATCTAACCCATTTCTAATAATCTGTGTAGCACCACGAGGTGGTAGCTTTCCAGGAGGATTCTAACCTGCAGCTGTCTCAGAGAGGAGAGTCATGGCGACTGCCTGCCTCTGCTTTCTTTCTCCCACAATTCTGTTCTGTCTACTCCACCCACCTAAGGTCTGGTCTATCAAAAAGGCCAAGGCAGTCTCTTTATTAACCAATGAAAGTAACATGACCCTTCTTCATCAAAGAATCTTTAACAAATGGTGCTGGTATATCAGGATGTCAAAATGTAGAAGAATGCAAACAAATCTTTATCTATCACCCTGAACAAATCTTGAGTTCAAATGGATCAAAGACCTCAACATAAATTCAGCTACATTGAATCTGATAGAGGATAAAGTGGGAAGTAACACATAGGCACAGGAGACCACTTCCTAAATATAACACCAGTAGCATAGAAACTGTGAAAAGAAATCAACAAATGGGACATCTTGAAACATAAAACTTCTGTAAGGAAAGGTCACAATAGATAAGACAAAACGGCAAACTAAGTGGGAAAAGATCTTCACCAACCCCACATATGACAGAGGGCTGATTTTCAAAATATATGAAGAACTCAAGAAGCTAGACATCAAATACAAAATAATTCAATTAAAAATGATGTACAGAGCTAAACAGAGAATTCGCAGCAGAAGAATTTCAGATGACCAAAAAACATTTAAAGAATTTCTCAACATCCTTAATCATCAGGGAAATGCAAAAACGACTCTGAGATACCATTTTCCACCTGTCAGAATGGCTAAGATCAAAAGCACTGAGGACAGCCTATGTTAGAGAGGATGTGGAGTCAGGGAGTCACTCCTCCACTGCTGGCTTGCTGGAGTGCAAACTTGTACAGCCACTTTGGAAACCAGTATGGCGGTTTCCCAGAAATTTGAGAATCAATCTACCTCAAGACCCAATGGAAAAATAAAAGACCCAACAATGCCATTCCTGAGCATATACCCAAAGGACGTTCAATCATACCACAAGGACACTTGCTCAACAATGTGCATAGCAGCATTATTTGTAGTAACCAGAACATGGAAACAACCTAGATGCCCCTCAACAGATGAATGGATAAGGAAAATGTGGTACATTTACAGAATGTATTATTGCTCAGCTGTGAAAAATGATCTCATGAAAATTGCAGACAAATGGATGGGACTATACAAAATCCATCCTGAGTGAGATAGTGCAGACTCAGAAAGACAAACACAGTATGTATTCACTCATAAGCAGATATTAGATGTAACACAAAGGATAACCAGACTACAATCCACACCTTCAGAGTAGTTAGGTAACAAGGCGATCCCTAAGAGGGATGCATGGATCACCCTCGAATGGGGAGGTAAACGAGCGCTCCTGAGAAAACTGGAGGTGAAGGAGGACAGTAAAAAGGAGGGGTTGGAAGATGAGATCATGAGGGAAGAAGATGGTCAAACCGGGGAGAGGGACGGAGTGGGAGCACAATAAAAGAGCTCTTGATAGAGAGAGCCATTATGGGATTAGAGAGAAAATTGGGGCTAGGGGTATTTGCAAGAACCCACAAAAATGACCTCAGCTAAAACTCCTAGTAAGAGTGGAGAGGGAGCCCGAACTTGCCTTCCCTTGTAATTAGATTGGTGAATACCCCAACTATCAGCATAGAGCCTTCATCCAGCAGCTGACAGAACCAGATGCAGAGATCCATAACTAAGCACCAGGCTGCACTCTGGGAAGCCAACTGAAGAGAGGGAGGAGGGAATATGTGATCAAAGGAGGTCAAGATCATGATGGAGAAATCTATAGCGACAATTGCACCATGCTCATAGAAACTCATGAACTCTAGATTGACAGCTGTGGAGCCTCCATGGGACCAAACTAGGCTCTCCATAAGTGAGAGACAGTGGTGAAGTTTGGACTCTCTGTGAGGTTCCTGGCAGTAGGAGCGGGATCTATCCCTGGTGCATGAACTAATTTATTGGAGCCCATTCCCTATGGTGGGATGTCATGCTTGGCCTCAATGCAGGAGGGAGGGGCTTGGTTCTGCCCCAAATTAATGGACAAAATTTTGTTGACTTCCCATAGGAGTCCTTACACACTGGGAGAAGTGGATGGGGGTAGGTTGGGGGAGAGCTGGGAGGTGGTGGAAGGGAGAACAGTAGACGGAATGTAAGATGAAGTTTTAAAAATGAAAATGAAAAAAAATGTATTTTGATAAGGAAGTTATATTTTTGCTCTTCCCCCTCAACTTTAGTGAAAGACTACCTCGGTGTACCCTCAAAGTCTCCCTATCACTTCTCTAACTGCTACTTAAGTACTTAGGCATCTAATCCTCTCCTGAAGCCTGCACTTGACTCTTCTCAAGGACATCTGTTCTTTCTCCTTACCCAAAAGCTCACTGATTTTGTTTCACTTTGACTTTCAAACATGCATAAGAGGTACTTGAGGCTCCGAGACAGATGCCCCCTCTTTTTCCTCCTGCATGGAGCTTGACTCTCTAATGCCACTAGCATTACTTCATACTTATGAATGCCCCTCTGTCTTCAAAGATAGATTAAAAAAACAGAACAAGCACGGGCATTATGGTGTGCAACTGTAGTTCCAGCATTTGGGGAACTGAGGCAGGATGATCATGTTTTGGTGGCTAACCTGAGTTACCTAGTGTACTAGGATACCTAGGGATATAAAGCAAGGTCAAGGCCAGTTTGGGCAATATAGAAAGTTCAAGACTAGACTAGTCTACTTAGCAAGCCATTATTTTTTTTTATTTTTTATTTTTTTAGCATTGGAGTCTGAACTCAGAGCCTCACACGTGCTAGTGAGTTCCAACTGCAGCACACAGGCTCGCTCTTGAAGAAACCAACAAACAAAACAAAAAAAGGACAAAAATTACACAGAACAAGATAAAGAAAACATATTCTAACACCACAGCTGAGTTTTTCTGAACAGAAACATCCAATGAGAAGAGAACCACAAAGAAGAGAAATGAAGAACAATAGGGAAAATGACTTTCTGGGTTTGTTCATTGCTTTCATTATGCTATGTTATTTAAGATGCTTTTAAAGGTGACCTAGTGACATTTTCTACATTACTGGTAAAATGATAACATCTTATTTCCTATTCACTTTCATTGCACACCAGAAAATAATTCTAAACTATCATCTTTCACTCATAACATAATGATGTGACAAAAAAAGGGGGGCCTGGTCTCCAGAGTCCCACAACCGACTTTCTGAGGATTGGGCAGTAGGCAGGTTCTGACACCTCACAGAGGGGCACCTCCAGTCTCCAGCCTCGAGCCCTGCTATTGGTCAGGTTCTGGTGATCTGGGTCACAAAGGTTGCTAGGTGCTGGGTGGAGAAAAGAGAAAAGACTCAGCTGTGACAATCTATCTAGTGTATGTTGTGTGGGAGTGTAGTGTGACTGTCAATGTCAGGATACCAGCTCTTTTCACCGTGGACCCCACTGGACGAGAATTTGCGATGGCTACGGCACACAACACCTACCCTTTCATCCAAACACCCTTTTCGGGACTCTTATTTCTTACCACAATCCCCTTCTGACCTTGAAGTACAAAGGTGCTTTCAGGAAGTTGCTGTTGTCTTAGACAGCCCACCGGTGGCTAGTGCAGAGAGCCCAGAGTCACCTGGCCAAGCATCAGAGGACCAGACCACCGACAAGAAGAAACTACTGGTTAAGAAACCTGAGCCGATCCGCCTCATTGGATTGGATGCTGTCTTTGGCGGGTCTATTACAGTCCAGCCACCTAAGTGGACTGGAACCTTCAGAGTTTCAGACACATCAGCCTTCTCTAAAGTTGTCAGTAAGAAGCAACAGTGGCCCACAGGACTCAAGGAGCCTCAGATTGAGATGATCATGGCTATGTGCAAGCAGATGCTACGCTCGATCCTCCTCCTGTATGCCATATACAAAAAGTGTACCTTTGCCCTGCAGTACTCCCAGTAATGTGCCCCCATCTGACTCCTGTACTTCACACCACACTCTATACCTGGAGCCTATAAAGATCTGTCCATGTAAATCAATCTGGAACATCATGCTTGCTAATTTGCTCCTCTGTCAAGATGGGAGAATCCAGAAGCTCCCCCCCCCACCTTTCTTTTCAGAATCAGGGCCAATGAGCCTGATCAGAAAGGTCATTTTGGCTGAACAGACATTTAAACATGAAACTATCATTGCCATGACCGTGTGATAAAGAACAGTTAAATCACCCAAACCAACCAATCTAGTGTGAACATACTCAAGCTCCAAAGATAACGAAGAGCTGGCAGCAGAAACGGACGATAAAAAAGACGGGCATGGAGTTTTCAGTGTACCAGAAGATGAAGAGATCAACAATCAAAATCTATGTGCGGGTTAAGTGCTATTTTGAGATCAGCCTCCCATCATCAAACATACCCTAACTGCACAACCCTACCTAAAACAAACGTGGACAAAAATATTAACAAATATTAATCTTTACAGACTGACAAGGATGAAATTGGTAGCATCTTTAAGACTGGACTTTTTAGTGAAAGACAGGAGAGTCCTCATTTCAGCTCCCAGTGTTCAATCACCAATAAACTACAATTGCTTTATTTAGAAGGAGTTGAAAGTTTCTCATTTCAAACTGTAATTTAGTCCTAAATACAGAATTATTATATAGCAAATAAACAAAATGGTAGTTTCACCCTATTATAACTGGATTCTGTTAAAATTATGAGTTTGAAAATTGTCCAACAAAAGTTGCGTGTTCTCTAATTAGTGGCTCCAAGCTCCAAATCTTCAAATGTGAATATATTGCTATAGTAACTATAGAAACCACCAAAGTACAATGGGGCCATTGCTAGAAGAAGAGAGTTGAGGAGCAATAGCGAGGGGAAAAGTAGATTACAAGTGATATGATCAGGGAAATGGGAAAGGGGGTTCATTAGGAGAGGGGAAGGAGACAAATACAGAAGAAGGTTGGAAGAGGGCAAAGAGGAATGGTAGGGATACAGTGATCTGATAGCAGAAATGGGAAGGAGGCACTGTACAGAGAGTGAGCGAAGTAAGTACAGAAGGAGACAGGAGGAGGGTAAAGGGAACTAACAGGATATAAATAATCATGTAGGGGCAAGTTCCTTAGGGAAGGGGAGAGAGGAAGATATAGGAAGATGGGAGGGATAAAATAGCAGTACGGATGACTGAAAAGGCCATAAGAAATCATACTATTAACCATTTACCTAAAAACCCTATAACATATCTAATTAAATACTTATATACATACATAGTTTCGTTGAACTGTTTTCATCTGTGCTGATGGTACTTCTTCAAAGAGCCACAAACCACCTAATACAAAAACTCAATACCTGACATGAGAAGTACTATTTTGAGTTTTGGCCAGGGTTGTCTACGAAACTCATCAAAATATTGCTTACTGCTGTTGTCCTTGGTTATTCCTGAGAGTTGGAAGATAAATACCTATTGCTGAAGACCCCAAAACAGGGCCCAGAGACCCATTAGCTAGAACTGACCAGAATTCACCCTCCCTGAGGACTAGCTTTATGATACCAGAATGTACCTTGTAAACTTTCAAAGAAGAGAGGCAACCAACAGTCCTAACTCACTATAACACCCATGAACCGTGCCACAATGGGCTGGACCTTCTCACACCAGTAATTAAAAAAATACCCTAAAGACTTGCTAACATCCTGACATTATGGAGGCAGTTTTTTCAATTGAATCTTCCTTGTCTCTGATGACTCTAGCTTGTGTCAAGTCGACAAAAAAAAAAAAAAAAAAAAAAACTAGCCAGTACAACTGACATCCTGTCAACTTGACACATAAACACATCGTTTTTCATTTAGAAACTTTCCTTTCTCATTCATCTCCCATGGCCCCCATGTTAATATTCATATTATAATATAAAATATAAATAGCTTTAAAAGTCCCGAGGTCCTTACAAATTCAAACATATTAAAACTCCAGCCTTTTTAAAATATCAAATTTCTTTAAAAAATTCCAAATCTTTTAAAAATGATTATTAAAAAAATTCCAACTGAAATAACCCCTCCATCCACTCCTCTTCCATTTCCATTCAGAAAAGCACAAGGCAACCCTCCCATGGATATCAACAAAACATCGCATATCAAAGTTGCAGTAAGATGAGGCATTTCCCCTTGTATTAAGGCTGGACAGGGAAACCCAGTATGTGGAATAGGATGCCAAAATCTATTTAAAAAGTCATAGAGAGCCCCTGCTTCCACTGTTGGGAGTTTCACAAGAAGACCAAGGTATAAAACTGTAACATATATGCAGAGGGCCCAGGTCAGTCCCATGAAGGCTTCCTGGTTGTCCATTTCTTCTCTGCGAGCCTCTCTGAGCCCACATTAGTAAATTCAGTGGGCTTGCTTGTGATATTCTTGACTTCTCTGGTTCCTACAGTCCTTCCCCCCACAAAAGTTCAAAGTCATTTAGCTTTACACTCCTGCAAAACTCAAAATTAAATAACTTCACATTTCAAGAGGGAAGAACCAGGGCACAGTCACAATCCGAACAAACAAGACCAAACTTCCAATGTCTGGGATTCACGTATTATCTTATGGGCTCCTCCAAAGGGCTTGGGTCACTTCTTGTCTCTGCCCTCTGCAACGCACACAACTTGTCTTCTAAACTGTGCCAGGCTCCAATTCAAGGGTGCTGCTGTTCTTGGTGACTATCCCATTGTTCTGGCATCTCCAAAGTGCTGGGATCTTCTCCTGCAATTGGGCTTCACTTTCACCAAGAGCCTCTCATAGGCTCTCTTTATGTTGCCAAGCATAAACTTCTTTCCATGACCCCTTCAGTCCTGGGCCTTCAAGTGCTACTGATGCTGCACCTTCACCAACGGCCTCTCCTGGCCTTTTATAGTGCCAAATTGCAGCTGCTTGCCCTGAACCCTTCATGCCCTCAAAACCACTACCACCTGGGTGATGCTTGGACTATCACAATCAGCTGCCAGCTATGTCTGGAGCACAGATTCTGTGTACTGACTCTCTGGAAATACTTTCCAGAAGATTTCACATCAATGAGGCTGGTCTCTCCTTAATTACTGCTAATTTCTCAGCTTCAGATGACCAGAATTGAGTTTCCCAGCAAAACAAAGGCATCACCTTGGTAGTTCTGGTATCTTGTTAATCACAGCTGATTTTTCAGCCCAGCTGACAAGAACCACAGACTCTTAATTTAAAATAACAAATGACCCAATAGAGTTTTTAAATTTCCTACTGAAACTTCCTAAGACCAGACTCCATTGTCTGTACTGTTCTAAACATTATTTGTGTTCTTTTTTATTAAATCCTTCCCATTTTAATTGGTTGAGTAGGAATGTGCTATACATTTCTCCCCTCCCATTTCACCTTCTTACCTCCACTTCTACCCTCTCCCTGCCTTCTACTATCCCAATTTACTCAGGAGATCTTGTCTTTTTGCCCTTCCTAGGCAGATCCATGTATGTCAATCTTAGGGTCCTCTTTGTTTCTGTTTCTGAGGCACTCTAGGTTGTCCTTTGCTTTATGTCTATTTTCTACAATTATATTTGTATAATATATATTTGTATATATATACATACATATATATATATATGTATGAGTGAATACATATTATATTTGTCTATCTGTATCTGGGTTACCTCACTCAGGATGACTTTTTCTAGTCTTGTCTATTTGCCTGAAAATTTCAAGTCATTTTTACTGCTGAGTTATCTTCCATTGTGTAAATGTGCCACACTTTCCTTATCTGTTCTTCTGTCAAGGAACAGTAAAATATCCTTCTGAGGTCTTTGATTAAGGTGAATAATAGATGAAATAGTTATATTTTTCCTTAGTTATGATAAAATATAAAGTAGATATAAATATTGTAACTATAATTCTTACTTGGTACCTGTCTTGTTATATGTAATTTTATTATGTAAAAGTTAAAACCTTCCTTTTTATTTAAACAGAAAAGGGGAAGTGATGTAGGGTTCCCCTCTGTATGCTGTAAATATCATTGGTTAATAAAGAATCTGTCTTGGGCCTGACAGGGCAGAATAGAGGTAGGCAGGGAAATAAGAAGGCGGAGTGAGGAGAAGCCATGTAGCCCTGCCAGAGACAGATGCCGGACAGAACCTTGCCAGTAAGCCACAAACAAAAGGCATTACACAGATTAACAGAAATGGGTTAAATTAAGAGGCAAGAGCTAGCCAACAAGAAGCTAGAGCTAATTGGCCAAGAAGTGATTTAATTTAATTTTCTGTGTGGTTATTTTGAGTCTGGGTGGCCAGGAAACAAGCAGCCTTCTACAACGTGTTCAAGTGTACTTCCCACTTTCTCTTCTTTGAGGTTCAGTGTGGCTGGCTTTATGTTGAGCTCTTTGATCCATTTGGACTTGAGTTTTGTGTATGGTGACAGGTATGGAAATATTCGCAATCTTCTACACGTTGACTTCCAGTTATGCCAGCATCATTTGTTAAAGATGATTTCTTTTGTCCACTTTATACTTTCAGATCCTGTGTCAAAAAATCAGTTTGTTGTTCATAGGTGTGTGGATTAATGTCAGGGTTTTCAATTTGATTGGTTCAGGTGTCTGGTTTTGTGCCATACCAAGCTGTTTTCATTACTGTAGCTCTATAGTAGAACTTGAGGTCAGAGGTGGTGATGCCTCCGGAAGTTCCTTATTTTTGTACAGGATTGTTTTGACTATCCTGGGTTTTTTGTTTTCCATATGGAGGTGAATATTATCCTTTTAGTTCTGGGCCATATTTTGTTGTGATTTTATTGGGTATTGTGTTGAATCTGTTGTTGAATTGTGTTGAATGGTTTTTTTTTTGGTAAGATTGCCATTTTTACTTTGTTAATCCTACCTATCCAGGAGCATGGGAGATCTTCTCATTTTTTTTGCGTGTGTCTTCTTCAATTTCTTTCTTCAAGGACTTAAAGTTCGTATCATAGAGGTCTTTCCCTTGTTTCGTTAGGGTTACCCCAAGATATTTTGTGTTATTTGTGACTATTGTAAAGGGCGATTTTTCTCTGATCTCTTTCTTGGTCTATTTATTATCTGTATAAAGGAGGGCTACTGATATCTTTGAGTTAATCTTGTATCCTGCTATATTAACTGAAGGTGCTTATGAGTTGTAGAAATTCCTTGGCAAAACTTTTGAGGTCACTTAGATACACTATCATATCATCAGCAAGTAGCAAAAGTTTGACTTCTTATTTTCCAATTTGTATTCCCTTGATCTCCTTTTGTTGTCTTATTGCTCTAACTATAACCTCAAGTGCTATATTTAATAGATTTGGAGAAAGTGTCCAGCCTTGTCTTGTTTCTGATTTCAGTGAGATCACTTTGAGTTCCTCTCTATTTGCTTTGATGTTGGCTGTTGGTTTGCTGTATATTGCCTTTATTATGTTTAGGTATGATCCTTGTATCCCTGCTCTCTCCAAGACCTTTATCCCGAAGGGATGTTGAATTTTGTCAAAGACTTTTTTGGCATCTAATGGTTTTCCCAATCAGTTTGTTTATATGGTGGATTTCATTGACAAATTTTTATATGTTGAATCACCCCTGCACCTCTGGGATGAAACTTATTTGGTCATGGTGGATGATTTTTCTGATATGTTCTTGTATTCGGTTTGCCACTATATTTTTGAGTAT